GCTCATGGGAAAGTGGACCTGCACCTACGAGTTCATCAGCTTTTCAATCACCATTCTCCCCGACCTCCTCAACCGATCTGTCGACACACACAAGTCAGAGGCTGCGCATGAACCACTTCACTTTCCCGTTCCCGGTCAGCCTTTTAGGACTGCAACGCAACCTTTTATTTCACTGGCTTCAGACAGTGACATTTAACTTCAAGAGGTCCACTACATCCTGTAAACATTCCCAACATTATTATTTTTGTTTGACCAAGATTCTCATCTAAATGTTAACATCACATTTGGGTAAATGTTTAGATGGGGGTCATGGGGTGGGCAATGATGACATGAACCCGAAGCTGCACTTTTTATCCACAGGAAGGAAATGAATTGGCCAAATATTTAGACGGCTTCTTCTTCCAGCAAATGTCTGTCACCACAGACAAAGATTTGTCTGTGCAGTCATGGAGATTACTCAATCAAAAAAAAAAAATTCTCTTTTAGTTTTTGGATCTTGGAATCATAAGCTCTGTTTATTTTCTGGAATGTCTGTGTTTGTTTGTGGTTGGGGAATGGTAAACAGCGTTTAAGTATCGGTGATATGATTTAGACTAGCGCTACTCCATGCCAAGCCATGCCTTGGACTAGCCCTGCAGGATCCTCTGTGAGGGTAAGGCCTCCAGTTGGGTCTTTAAGAGTTAGAAAGCTTATAATGTATGCAAATGTTTTGATTGATACATTTTAGTCCAAAAAGGCAATGGTTATGAGGAATTTAAAAATGTCACCCTCCTCTCATTTCCTGTCGTCTTCTTCCCCTTTTCCACCAGTAATAACAGCCGCTTGTGATGCGAAAAAAAAATTTCCATTGTGTTTTTTTTCAATAAATAAAAACAACAAAACAAAACAACTGAGTGGCCAGAAGGGGAACTACACTCATATAAAGTGACATTGTGTCCCTCCACAAAGAGTACTTCTTCTTCAAAATGTGTTAATAACAACTTTAGTAATCATTGATAAATGGTTGTCTATTGCCTTTTTATCATTCTTTACCATGACTGTTAAAATATTTTAACAACTAATCTGCACTGCATCACACATGCTCATGTTTCAGTGGAGGAAAACTATTGAAGCTTGGAAGGAAGGAAGCCATGTGAGCACTTCCAAAGCTTTAATGAAAAGCCTTTTACTACCCCGGGTGTTCATCCATTACCATGCGCAGGTGTTAACAGGTTCCATGTGTGTTTACACTTCATATATTGTTCCACATGTTGCTGCCTCCACAGTGGGCACAAAGCTTTTCAGGACAGTTACAGGACCTCTGGGAGCGCGGGGAGCAGAGCGGGAGCACCACCCAGATTTAAATCACTTGCATGCTTGTTAATCCGGCGGCAGGAATGCAACTCACCTGAGGAGGCAGGACATGTGGGAGGGGGTGGTGAACAGACGCGGTGCACACACAGGCTTCTGCTGGAAAGCAACAAAAATGAAAATGGCGACCTGGTGGTGGTGTCAGAGGGGTTGCTTGTAGTTCCTTTGAAGCAAACAGGGGCTCTTTTGACAGAGGCCAGTCGGTCCTCTCATTACATTTGCATATGAATGTAAACAGTTTGAGCGGCTTCTGCTGCACAAAGAGGCTAATGCTAATAACTGAGGTGACTGCTTGTGCGGGGTAGGCTCAGCTCTGGCACTCTGATGTGTGCGTTTACTTGTTTTTCTGCTTCTCTGGGACCTTCAGATAGGAACACTAATCTCATCAAGGCCAGTAATCCCTATGGGGACCACATGCATGTGGTTATTGGGACAAGTTCAGGCAAAACTCTCTGGATTTGAGGTGATCATTAGAGGAAACTGTTACAACTTGACTTATTTACAGCTAAAGTTAGTGATGAAATTTGGTTCAAATTAAATGTAAGTGAGTGGAAGGTCTTATTATAGATTGTCACATGGCTCTATGTGGCGATCATGGTGTGTGCGTATGTGTGCGTTTGTGTGTTCTTGTTGAACTGTTGTTCTTAGGATCATATTTATTAACAGGACTAAGGCCTGTCCTAATATGGTGGAACCCCTTGTTTAGGATTCGGTGTTTGGTCGAGATGTACGGTGTGAATTAAGTTTCAGTTAAATGGACGTAACTCTTGTGAGTTATAATGTGTTTCCCTCATCAAAAACATATCTGGGGTGTTACTTTGGTTCTTTCATGCATGTTTGAAAATTCCCTTAAGCAGTGCAAAATGCCAGGTTGGACCTAGCTCCACCTTCGAGCCTAGAACTCCTCTTTGGAGCTGCAGTTTTCAAGCTTCTGCGATTCCCCCACTCAGTTCCTTCAGACTAGCCAACAGCAATTAGCAAACACCTGGTGGAAATACACATCAGCTGATGTCATTATACCAGTTACTTCAGCTACTTTATAACAACTGGAGGCAACATAGTAACTTGATTGTGCTCTACATGGAACTACATGCATGGAAAATACACTTTAAGTTTAGGGTTAGGAATAGATTAGTACAAGTTAAGGATAAAGGGAGTTACTAAAATGAATGGAAGTCAATGCAAAGTCTTCGGTTTAAATCGAAGTACAAGGATATGTGTGTATTGGTGTGTGTGCGTGTGTTTAATCAGTGTAATTCAATCAAATCTAAGGCATAAGAAGGAACTGGTTGCTGCTAGGTCTTGTAGAGTTCTCTTCGCCACCTCTGTTGCCACAGGACACCCCTGGGTCAGCCAACAAAGTGGGATCAAGCTAAAGAAAACAGCCATCACATTAGGCTGCCAGCGGACAGTGTTATTATTACAAGGGTAATAGTCCTCTGGAAGACCCTGAGCCTCAGTAATGCATGCTGCCGCTAAGTGGTCAGTTGCTAATAGTATTTTCCTGTCCTCCTAATGGACAAAAACACAGGCTGAGCTCTGCGAATAGTGGACCTCAACTTTTAAATCCTTACAAGATGTCTTAGTTGCGGTTTCTACGGTAACCACGAGCCCTAGGGTGTGAACTTTTCAACCCAAACGCCCCCACTTGTCCCAATAATCCATTGTGCGACGCAGCCAGTACTCACGGCACCGACTTTAGGCGACTCCTGTCATGAGCGCTGCTGCATTCGGACTCTCAGAAATGTAAATAATCGAAAGGGAGTTTGGAAACTCCTGCGCCACAGAGACCTGACCTCAAGCTCCACACAAGCTGTCACCGGTGGGCTCTGACCCATCAGCTCATTTCTGCTTGCATCCCCACTTGTAGGAAGATTTGGCAGGAAGGAAGAGCGAGTGGTTTCCCAACGGCCATTTGCGGTGCTTCGCCACAAGCAAGTGGAAAGAGAGACAGAACAGAATGTGGTACCCTGAGTCCATCTTCCCAAAAACAATTTACAGCTAATTTTTTTATTGAACTTAGTCGTCTGACAGACCTGAAAGTACTCTCCTCTGAGTCAAATAAAATTAGTTGTCCTGTAGACTGCAAGACCAAACTGACCTCTGGATGAGTGGAAAAACATTTGGACTCATTTTTGCATTTTGCAAGGTGGCAACCAGAAGTTTGAAACGTGGCGTTTTATTTTGTTACCATAACACCAAAACAAAATAGAGGATAATAGAAAACCTGAAGAAAAATTATATGTTTTTTTTTTTACATAAAATTGCAATGGGTCTGCTGCTGTGTTCCTGTTACATGGGAAGTGGGAATTTGGAGACTGGTTTGATGTCAGGTTAAGAAGTCAGGATTTCATCATGCCAACACCAACAGACATTGTTCTCCGTGCCTCTTACCACCATTGTTTAAAGCTTTACCTTCCATTAGCCAAGGTAAAGCTTGGCTAATTTAAATTTTTTATAGCTTAGACCTGCAGTTGCTTCATTTAACATTGACTTTTTGCGTACTTTTACATGCTTCCATCACGTATTGGTACTGTTGACGCGAGGAGCAGCCATATTGAAACAGGAAGTCGGCCTTACAAAGGGACATAATTGGAGTTGCTCCCTCGTTCCCAGTGGGAAATACAACTTCAGAAGGCATTCCAGTTGAATTTTCCTCATGGGAAGTTGGAATTTCCCAGTTCTGACTACAACTTGAACGCAGCATAAGTATTCATGCCCTTTTTCTCTGATACCACTGAACAGACTTTGTGGCCTGCACATGAAAAACAAATGTTCGCAACTCAGAACGCAATCACGCTGAATACACCATCTTTACATGAAACATGGTGGAGGTAGAATCATGCTGTGGTGAGGATTTTCTTTCGCAAAGAGAGAGAGAGAGAGAGAGAGAGTAAATGAAAAGTATTTGGAGCTCAATACATTAAGATACTGGAGCAGAATCATATAGGCTGCAAGAGATTGAAGTTTTGGGTTAGAATGGTATAGTCAAAGTTCTGCAGTGAATCCAATAGGGAACCTCTGTCAAAATAGTCAAAAACCTTAAACTCTAGATGTGCAAGGCTGGTAGAGAAAGACCCCAAACCCATCTAATCTGCATACTGCAGCAAAACGATTGTCGACAAAGAATTTATTCAGGGAAGCTGGATTCAAATACACACCACACTTTTCAGATTGTCATTCATTTTCATTGTACTTCACAATGTTTTATTTTTTTGTATGCATCTTTTAAGTAAATAGAATACATTGATGTATGTGGTTGCAATGTAACAAAGCGAGTCGTATGGATATGTTTGCAAGGTAAACAGTAGTTTTCCAGGGAAAACATTCCCAAATTAGGGGAAAGGAAATTATTTGGTGGTCATGGATAAACGAGTCCCACTGTGGAGCTCATTTGGCTAATGTGTCGATATAAGTGCAAGTCAAACAAACTAAGTTTCCAGATTCATTTCCATTGAATCTTGCTTTAAAAAAAAAGGCATTTTATAGGAAGTTTATATCCTGATGGCTCAGAAATCCATCCTCAGTGTAAACCTGTTGGTGGAATCATGGCAGACAAAACAGAAGCTCTCCACTGCTGTGGCTGTTAAGACTCCTGTTATCACTGTCTAATAACCAGGAAATGTCAAGAAGGAAACAGAGAATCCAGATTTAAATAAAAAGTCACTTTAATTGAAGTTCTTTCACACACACGCGCACGCATCCACACTAACACACACACATACAATCAAGCTTTTAGTCTGATCACAGAAAGAAGTTGGAACATTCACTCTGAAGAAGACGCACACCGGTCAGTTTTCTCAGACAAAAATATATATAGATATATTTAAATCTTTACAATAAGCTTGAATCATGAAACATCCAGAGGAGTGTGCACACCTACAGTCCAAAAGCACCGAGATCTCTCTCTCCCTCTCTCGCTCCTCCTCAGTCAGTCCTTTTCTTGTACCCTGGTGTCAGTGTAAAAATCTTTTGTTTTTTGATTTATTTTTTATTAAAAAAAAAAGAAAAAAAGAAAGAAACAACATCAAATGTGCAAATAAGACAAAAACTTTTGGAATCCTTCAGCGTTTCAGTGTAGAAAGTCCAGGATCCTCAGCGAGCCCCTCTCAAGTTTAAATACAGATCTGCCTTTTCATTTTCAAGTAAAGTGCTCCTCTAGCAAAAAACAAACAAAACAAAACAAAAAAAAACACGCGGCATGAGATCAGTCCCGCATCGTTTTAGCAAAACAAAGGAATGTCGTTAGAGGCAGTCAGACAAACTCCAGCTTGCCGTGGCCGCTGTACATCCCCCAGTGCACCAGCGACAGGATCTTGTCGCCGCCGCCGCCCGGCTCGGCCTGCCGCATCTTGTCGCAGGTCAGGCAGCAGTTCTCGTGCCCCGACACCGGCACCATGCACTCCAGGTCCAGCTTGGCCACGTGGCCCTTCTTGGTGTGGTGGCCGTGGAAGCTGTAGTGGAGGCGCGACAGCATCTGCTGCCGCTGGTCCTGCAGCCGCTTGTTCTCGCTGCGCAGCATCCGCAGCGCCAGCATGATGAGCAGCACCAGGATGAGGCCGCCGGCGATGGGCACGGCGATCACCGCCGCCCGGAACCACACCTCCTTGGCCGAGGCCAGCTCCTGCACGCGCGTCACCAGGTTCCGGTTGCCGTCGGCAGGGTAACGGCTCTCTGCGAAGGTGGAGACAATTGGACGGTTAGCGTCACGTCGTTGAGGAGCGATGCTCGGCTTTTAACCCGCGCCCGACAGAAGAGAAAAAGCAAGGAGGAAAAACGACACAGAGGAAGAGAGAGAGGAGGTGAGGAGAGGCGAAAACAAATGAGTCACCTTGTCCCAGAGATTAATCTGAGCTAATAAACTACCGTCTGCTCTGCCTCTGAAAACAAAACAAACAACCAAAAAAAAAACAACAACTGAAAATCCCTCCGTCTCAGGTTCTGAGTGGACGTCGGGGATGTTCGTCCTGCGAGGCACATTCCAGCTGGGTGGGAAAATTACACAGCGCGCACGTAATAAAAAAAAAGAGAGAAAAAAAGAAAAGAAACATCTGATCTTCTTCCAAGAGCTAAAAGGTAAAAACTGCCCGGCTCTCTCGCCTCTGCAGGCGTGGAGCTGGGGCTTGTTAAAAGTTTAAAACGTTAAGTTCTGCTAAGCTGGAAAATTAAGAATGAGGCGGGATATGGAAAAAAGAAAGAAGAAGGAAAAACTCAGGACTGCTTCTGAAACTGAAAGAAGGAAAATCAGAACTCTCAGAATAACTCAAGGGAAGCCTGTCGCAATTAATTTAATTAATTGATTCAAATGAGTGCATTAATTTCCATTCTGATTGATGTTTTTTGAAGGGCAGCTTTGTTTAGAAACATCATAATCCATTTATTCATGGTTTGAGTTCTGTTTTGACCATCTTCTGGTTCCTGTCAGTTCTTTACTAAACGAAATCTACTTTTTCCTTCTTGCGTCATTATTCGTACGCCATCGCTTCAGCACCGCCGCGAGACAACGACGTCATTGCTTATCGCCACACTTCATCGTGCTGCCTCACCTGTGGAGTCTCTGGTGTGCGCCAGGTCTTGCAGGCCCCTGTAGTTGCACATGTCGTCGTGGCAACACTCCAGCGTCAGCGCCCCGCCGAGGGGGTCGGCGGCATGGCGGCCGCTGCCGCACACGTCGGCGGCGCCAGAGACGGGGTCCAGGCAGCCGTGGGTGAGGGGCGAGTTGGCGCTGAGCGGGTCCAGGACCTTGGTGAAGCAGGCGTTCAGCTCAGACTTGCACATGTAGCCGGTGGCCACGCAGTGCGGCGCGTCGCAGTAGCACCTGATCTCTCCTGGACGACGAGGAGGAGGAGAAGAAGAAGAAGAGTAAGAGAAACTACATTTCATGTTTGCTTTTATGGAAGTTGGTTTCATTCCATCCTCCTCCACATCCTCCTCTGGCGGCTAACTGTTGCTAGCTTCTCCTACAGTAGATGCTAATGAGTAGGTAGCTCCACCAACCAGCAGAGTTAACTCTTCCCAGCCTGAAGCCGAGCTCTGCTGGTTGGCAGTGGGCTCGACTAAAGAGCCTCACGCTAACTTCTCGTTATGGCCGCCTCGCTCTTTACAGCAACACACAACCCAGAGGCGACTCGCCCAGCAACAGCATTCGACCTGCAGGTTGCATCATCACGAAAACAATACAATGCATCGACCTGAATGCTTCAGGTTGATACATTGTATTCAGAAGAAGAAGAAGAAGACGGGTCAATGGCTGCTGGTAAACTGCACCAACTTGCAGTGCAAGGCCCACATTCATCAGATCAGTGTTTTCCCTGTGAATGATTGGAGCAGCAGGGCTAAGGCAGGTCATTTGGAGAATATTTCATTAGAGAGGAGAGGCCCCTTTGTGGGCTGCGCAGAGGGAGGGGCCCTCAGCCAGGCTGAGCGCTGAGGCTCTCTGGGCCCCTGAGTGGGTCCAATACACGGATGGAGGCTTCGCACCCGGAGTGAGAGAAGTGAAACATGGCAGATGAGATGTTATGGTTTGGGTTGTTTAACCCTCATAGGGTAAAGTTAGTTTATCTGACAAGTTAAAGTCATTCATTTTCAACGATTTTCAGCTTCTTAAGGAGACTTTACTCACTTTTGTCTTTTAAAGGTTTTTGTTTGAATATTTGCTACATCGTCCAGAGGTACCAGATGGATCTCAGAATCTGATTTGGAACTTTAATGAATTTGGTTTCTCATCTTTTAAATTTTCGTCGGGTTTGTTTTTTGCATGTTTTTTAATCCGTCTGGAAAACGTTTTGACTCTCTCCGGATCAAAATCTAAATTAAGTTCAGTAAAAATGTGGAACGCCTCAATGTGCGCTGACCACACAGTTTGTGATTTGTCAGATGTTTATTGATGTGTGTGTGTGTGTGTGTTTATATATATATAAAATAAAGAAAAAGAAAATAAAGTTTTTTTTCCTTTTCTTTTCTAACTTTTATAGGAACAGTGCACCAATCCAAGCTTTTCCTGAAAAGTACCAATTGTTCAATAGTCACTTGTTAGTTTGTTGCATTTGGTTTGTCGACAAATTGAGAAAACTAAATCGTTTTTTCCAGTATTTGAAAAACCTGATCCCGACCTCTGACCCACTAATTTAGACTGGATTGGATTAGATCTTCTATTAAAGAAGTGGGAGATAACTTGGTCCACTTTTTAATCAGACTTTGTGGTCCAACTTTCAACCAGAAATTCATCCAATTTGATCTATAAACAACAACAAAAAACGTATCCTGTTTTTTTTTTTTTTCCTAACAAGTCAAACTTTTCATTCATCACAACCGGTTGTCATCTTTGCAGCGTGATTCACTTCGGTTTAAGTGTTTACATCACGAACCAATGCAGGTGAACCAGATCAAAATAAAGTGGCGGAATTGTCCTTTATGAAGTCGCATTCTAACTTCAGCGACCGGAACTCGGAACCGCGGAGCCTCGTTTCATGTCTCCCCTTGAAACAGAGCTTCTCCCGGTCTGGAGAGGCCGACACACAGCCGAGCCGACCCAGAGTCAGAGTCAGAGTCTGAGCGTACCTTTGGTCAGAAGAACCGCCATGGCGCAGAGTTCCAGTTGGAGCCAGATGGAAATGAAACTGGACTGGCGCTCCATTTACGCCGAGTTCCTGCACAGTGACCGCGGTTATATCCAGCGGCGGAGAGCCGCGAGAAGAAGAAGAAAAAAAAAAAAAAAAAACAAGGGTTTGGGGGGAGAAGGCTTACATGGAGTTATGGTAAAAAACGAGCCATTCAGCTCACCGACCTGACAACTCCAGGTAGGAAAAACAGCTTCCGCTCCCGCATGGAGACTGAAATGTTAGCCGGCTTGTTTTTCGACGCGGTTCGGCATTACCGGAGTTCACCACCGCCACAAAAGTACAAAGTGCTCCAAAACACGGTCTTCTTCTCCAGGACTAAAAAAAAAAGAGACAGAAAACAGAAAAAAAAACTGTGAATATACTCCTTTGGAAACGGCTGAAGGGGAAGTGAAGTTGTCCCCACTGGTCCTCTTGTTCCTTTCCAAGAGGCCGGTCACAGTGAAGCGTCGCGTTTGTATTCCTGACCGTTGAAATATGAGGTGGAAAAACAGATGAGTCAGTCCGCAGGGCTGCACACTCAGACTGGAGACGGCGGAGATTTAACTGGAGAAGAAGCAGCAAGCGGCCCAGGCTCCGCCTTCCTTCCTTCTGATTGGTCCGACCACCCGTGGCAGAACGTTGGCCTGAGCGCAGCTCACGGCACTTCCGGTAGTTTCATTTCAGAATCGGACCAGCAGGCTGAGCGATGTGAGCAGAACAAAATGATTCAGCCTGCATGACTATCAAATAATAAAAAGGTTTATGCAGGACAACTGCAAAATGTTTGCTGATGGATTGAAGGGTTACGTTTATATATTTATTTGTGTATTTGCTTGTTTAAAGTTCTTAGGCATTTTTGATTACTTGAAATCTACCATTTTAAATTATGCAAATTTAGTCTGTTCTTCCAAGAAGAAACTAGCGGCTCCTAAAGTGTCAGAAAGTTTCCACACAATTATGTCTTTTACAAGCTGGGAACGTAATTGTGCCTTTATTGTACAAATAAAAATGTTACTTTCGTGATCTCTCAAATCTTCTCTCTATTTGCTGCTTCGCTCAAATTAAGCTTTTATTTTGTACATCACTTCACCCAACTTCCGGTCTGACTCGCCTCCCTCCATTCTGACCCGATCCCAGCAGATCCCCTCCACCTTTCATTCATAGCCTTTTGTTTCCATAACAGCGTGTTCCGTGTGTCATCACAGGACCGGGCCGGGTCTCATTTAAGTGACTTAATAATTAAGGCGCCGATGTAATGAGTAATATTATGGTATGTCTGGATGGTCGGACCTGTTTACGCTGCAGCTCCTCAACATAAACAGTTTAATGATTTTTTTTTTTTTTTGGCGTATGAATGAAAATGCCAGTGTGTGTGTGTTTTTTTTTTTTTTTTGTACATATAAATATATTTTTAGAAAAAGAATAACGGGATCAAAGGTGTAACCTTGAAGCTAGAATGTGACGTCAGGTCACTGTGTCCGGTATCAGCCACCTGCAGTGTCATCGCGGCAGCAGCCAGGTTGACGCCAGGCTGAGCCGCCTCCCTTCAGGCTGACACCGCCGCCGCTCGCCCTGCCGCGCCGCTGCCGCGCCGCCGCGCTGCCGCTGGGAGGAGTGGACAGCCGGTTAGAGAAATTAGCAATCCAAAAAGCGCATGGCGCCACCCAGTCCACACACACACACGCACACACGCACGCACGCACGCGAGTGCGCGTAATTACCCCTTCACCAACTGGCAATGCAAAACAAACCGGCGAAAGATCTGTATCAAGCCTCACGCGCCATCTGTATCTTACCATAAGGACTTCCCTTTTGTTTTTTGTTTTTTTTTTGTTTGTTTTTTTCCTCGCCTTTAACTTTAATTCACTTCGTGAATGAGTTCAGCCTCATCGTGACTCCGCGCCTCAGCCTGCAGGTGTGACTGCGCGGCTCCGCCCTGATCCGGAGCCACAAGCCTCGCGGTCCAGCACAGCAGGCTTCTTCATCGCGCCTCTCAGGAAACAAGACGAGGATCCTCGCTCCGGGCGGAGGAGAAGACGACCCTGCAATTACCGCAATTATGTGCAATTCCGCGGAGGCGCCACTCCACGGCTGGTGTTACATCCCGTGCAAAGGGCAGCAAAGGTGGAAAGAGACGGGTTCAAGATGTCAGCTCACGCTGTTTGCAGGATTTGTTGAGAGAAAAGATCCTGAGAGCCCCGCATTCACTGATGAGCATCCGGATAATTTAACTCTTCACAATAACGTATTCAGTGGTTTACATTTGATTTGGTGTTAAATGTTCAGTTTGTACTAGACTGTGAGTGTTTACATTTTTATCTAAGTATTTCTAGAAATGCCCTTTTAACGTCGACAGCTGAAAGTGCGACCTTACCTGATCTTAGCTAAATACCGCCATCTAGTGGCCACAGCTGATACCAAGATCTTTCCTTTTCAGTCATAACATGGAAGAAGTTATTTTTTCCCCTCACAAAACAAAAGTGGACTGACAATCAAAACCCAGCCAGATTATGAAGTATATACATATCTCTCTCCACAGCAGGATTTCACAAAATAGAAAGTTTTAGATGTCCGTATTTTACCACGTCTGGGCCAGAGTCTGAGCCAGAGACTGGATTTACCCCCTGCCTCCCCCAAGCCATGATGGATGCTGTCGTGGCCAATGGTGACAGTAACAATAATTATCTTCAGGACTTTAAAGGATAAACATCTGTTTATATTCTGGCTTGCACTGCAGGCAGTTTGAACTCATGCAACTCCAGTTTACCCAAACATCCTCTCTGCCTCAGACTGCTAAGCGCTGGGTCTTCTTTCCTGGTGATCAGTTTCAGCAGAAACCAACTTACTCTGAAAAATAAAGGTGGCAGATAAATGTGTCATCATCAGACAACACATTTAACAGGTTTGTGGTTGGATTTCAGTTTTACATCTGATTCAACTTTATGTTTGGGTAAAAAGAAATAAAATTAGTTTGATCAAATTTCACCGCCTGATCTTATGCTAACGTGGTGTGTTTTCTTCCTGCTGAGAGGATGGGTGTCACTCAGCGGGGTGGGTTTCATGTGAGCGGCTTTCTTCCTAGGTAGTCATGGTTCCCTGCAGGTTGCGTCTGGTTTCACGCATTAGGAGACGCTTACTTGGAAGTGTTACCTGTTAGCGAGCCGCATGACAACAGCTCATCCCCCGCCTATTGCAACCTCATGACTGGAATGCTGTCGCGGGAACTTGGAGTGATGAACAACTCAGTTATTTTTATTAACAAAAAAGAATTTCACATTGAATTTCCTTAAAAGCAAACCATTTGAAGGGGTTGTATGTGTTGTGCCCCGTTGTCTCAGCCAGGTCATCTCCATGCAGCAGACAGTGAGAGGCCAGACGGGGCAGAAAGGCCTCGCTCCACAGTCTTCCTCTGGTGCTTCCTGTCCTCTCTTTGATCTGAGCCATATCAGTGTCTCCAAAGAGACCCAGACAGGCAGACTGTCTCCGTCCTGCATGATCTCGTTTTGCCCTCCTGACTGTAACAAAGGGAAATGTTCAGTTTGCAGAGAGAGAGAAAGAGAGAGAGAGACTCAGCCTCTTTGGCAGCTTTGATGTTCCAGATTTGGTTAAAAGATCTGCTTATGGACACTGACTGCTTTTGACAGGAGATCTGTTTTCTTTCCGTCTGTCATCCAAAAGAGACTAAAATTTGCTTTTCTAATTTGACTTCAATGCTTTTTTTTTTTAGTCAAAATAGTTTATGCTAAGCGGTTTTTACTTACACAAAATGCACAACGCCTTTATCTTGCTCAGCGACGTCAACAAAGAGAGCGGGAAAAAGCTTAGGGGTTGACTTCCTGTCCATGACCATACCTGCAGTTTTGCCTTGATAATTGACCACAAACCCAACATCCAACATTATGGCTGTATTTGCTACAGTAATGTTCTTGGGGAGCCAACTGTCTTCCTGAAATAATCTGTTTCCAGTTTTGCTGCATTTCTCCTCTTTTTGTGTGTTTTGATAATCAGGAGACAAAGGGACTGAAATCGTTTCTGATGGCCCCGACAGAATGCTGACTGGATCCTGGAGCCACTTTGTACATAACTTGGCAGAGCTCTCAGGGTTCATGTCAGTGTGAACAACCTTTATGTGCTCGAACTTTACATTCTTGGATAATGTGGTTTCGTATCTCCATATTTCTGTTGCATGAGTTGTTCCTATCCTTCCTGCAACCCGAAGCTGCCACCACCGTACTTCACGGTCAGCATGGTTCCTGTTTTTCCTCCAAAGTTATTGACGCTCATTTTAGCCAAAGACTTTGATTTTGTACTATCGGGCCACAGGGCATGTCTGCAATCATTAATCTTTGTTTCCATGTGAATTTGCAAAACGCAATCAGGCCTTTTCATTCCACTCTTGTAGTCGTGGTTCCTTTCCGAACGGCCTTTCAGCCCATGTTGGTGCACGTCTCGTTTGGCTCCGGATAATGACACGCTCTTACTCATCCTTCGCCTTTGTTTTCGGGTTGATACCCACATTTTACACCAGAGCACATTCGTCTCGGAGACAAAGAGTCTGCCTCCTTCCTAAACAATAGAATGGCTGGATGTTCCCATGCTGTTTGTACTTGCATTTAATTATTTAAACAGAAGATTGTGGCCCCTCCGGGCAGCTGTACCTAAAGACAAACCAGGCTTTTAAAGGCTTTTTTATGACTCCATTATCGGCTGTTTTTAAATGAATGTTCTCAGAGGAAATAACTAAATCACTGAAACCCAGACTGAAGACTCTTCCAGCACACTGTAAGAAGAAGAAGACAAAAAACTAATTTATGACTTAAAGTCAACATGCTGGGTTGAGTTGGCCCTACGAAATCATTTTAAGAATGGAAACAATAATGCTGCCCTCTGCTGGCAGAAACTATGCTGCTCCAGGATCATGATGATTTAAAAAGACCACATGTATTTATAATACATTTCTTCACCCAACCACTGTGGGAAAAAGTTAAATATAAATTATTTGTAAAGTTTTTCTCTTAACAACCCCACTTTCAACAATAGTGTGAAAAAAAAAAAAGGCTGAGGCTTTGGACGGAAAACGCAAAAATAAATAAACTTCCTTACAAGAAATGAACGTCGATGTCATTTCTTACTGCAGTTTAAACGTTTTACCACGAGAGGGAGCCAGATTGCTCAGTTCTACATGCTCGGTTTTACGCCACGTTTCATTTACATCGTTTTTCACAACATCCGGAAGAAAATGTATCCGTCATTTTTGCTTAAGTTCTTCATTGGCTTAAAATATATTAAAAAAAAAGTGAAATGGTAGCTCTAACGAGCTGCAATAAACGGTCCTATTGTTAAAAATAATAGATTTTCTCACTCAAAACGGTAAAACGGTTCAGGAAAACTGCAGTTCAGTAAAGCATCAGCAGGTGTCGCCAGAGGAACTGCCCTCTTTATGAAGCAGGTGGGAAGTAACAGCGCTGCTCTGGAGGCACATTTTAATTGTAAACGATGCATTAAGGGCGACAGTTGCTCGTATATTCAGAATGTTATTGAAGGGGCAGCGTTATGCAAAAATAAACTGTTATAAAGTTATTCCCTCATGAAACCATTCCAGGAACGTTACCTTGATTTGTTAATTCATATTTGAGAAACCCTCTAATCTGGCAAAAGTTTAGGTTTGTAAAAGCTTTGGTGGGATCTGCGAAGAACAGCCCCACCCAGCTCCTTCAGACTAGCCGGTAGCAACTAGCAAACACCTGGAGGAACTGCAAATATGCTGAGCTTCTTATACCAGGTACTTCTCAGTGAAACGCTAATAAAAACTTCATTAAACGGTTAATGGGAGAGATGTGATAACTTCCTGTAGGCAGTTTAAAAAAACAAAAGCAGGAGTTCCTCAGGAGCCAGAGGCCAAATGTCAAGGCAAAATAAGATTTCTTACAAGTCATATCAGAGGTGAACTCCCAAGTGTCTCTTTACAGAAACGCTTCCCAACCAGGCACCAATAAAACATACAAGCTTTAGTTTAACATGTTTATTACAATACGTACATTTCACATTTGAGCTTTGACCTCTCGCTGCCCTGCGTTGACTGAAGAGGTGCTCCACATGCACCCACCTTGGACCTGCTGAGGCCGTCCTACCGCTCCTCCACCGGGGCGCTGGTGAAAATGTGTGGCTGTCATTGTGATTTTCCGCTCGTCACTACAACTCTTATAAATAAAACCTTTTTTTTGTTCTTGTTCTTTTTTTATTATTATTTTTTAATTCCGTCTCTTAAAACTCCACTGTTATGTTAGCAACTGTACAAAGGAATGAAAAAACTAAAACAAACAAACAAAAAAAAAAAAAAACAAGAGGCGCAACCTCAACTTGAAAAGTCAAGAGGTGTGGGAGGGGGAAGAGAGGAACAGATGACAGAGAGGGAACCCAAAGGAGAAGAAAGTAAAGCAACAGCACAGAAAGGTGGGATGTGTCAGAGAAAGAGGCGTGGCGCGGCGGGCGGGCGGGGCAGGTAGGTGGGTGAGTGGGTCAGGAAGCCAGGGCGGGGTGGTGGAGGTTACCGGGAATGGTCCAAAGCAGCACGCCGTCACATCCCACGATGGATTTTTATTTTATTTTTTTTTTCCTTTTTGTATTTTTTTCTTTTTTAAATAATCACTCACTTCACCAACCACCAGGCACTGATATTTTTTTTTTTTCAGACTGGATAATGCAGGGCCAACAGAAGCTGCTAGCAGATCACTGAAGCATTGGGAGCAGGAACCGGTGAGTTTACCCAGATTTGACCAGCTGAAGAGATTGTTCTGGTTGATTCCATGCCTCAAACACCTTTAAGTCAGCTTGCAGGCCACACACTCACTCAGTCACACACACGCACACACACACACCAGCTGACTCAATGGTTCAGAGATCTTGTGAAGTGACAGAGTGAAGTCAGATGAGTTAACGTGAAGGACCGGAGCCGCCGAGGCGTTGATTAGTCTGGATGTCCAAAAAGCTTTGATAGGCATGGCTTTCCATGGCTTCAATCTACAAAACATATTTACAACATAGATAATAACATCTACAAGAAATCTACAATGTTTTTCCACCCTCCCCCACCACGGGTTTTCACAAAAACCAAAGTCTTGTGAATCAACCCCCCTCCTCCAACAACAGCTCCTCGGTTCTCCCTCTCAGGTCTCCCAGTCCAACGGTCCAAACCAACCCGACTCAAACTTCGCTGAGAGAGTGTGTGTGTGTTTATGTGTGTGTTAAGACTGGGTTCAAGAGGAACCGAACAACTGCTTTCTTTCCAGCTTTCAACTATGTGCAATGGGTTTCCCCCCTTCCATAAACCCCCCCCAGAAAAAAACAAAACAAAAACATAACTCTCGACCCAAAAGTTCTCAAACCATGAAGGAATTTTGATTCTTCAACTTTTCAAGTTCTTTGATTTGCTGTCTCAAAAACAATATCCTGAGGGGAGAGAGATGGAGAGAGGAGAGAGTTAGACGTGTGGATGTTTTGACCGAGTCGTGACTGAGGGCGACCGGCGCTCTCACCTCTGCTCCCGCAGCGTAGCTTGGATTTCACAGACTCTGACCAACGAGCGCAGATTCTTGAGCTCAGTGCAATTCTCGGACATGCAGATGCTGCCCATGCTGTGGGCCTCTTCACGTAGCCTGGACGCCTGGAAGAGATCACGCCACAGGTCAGCCCATTGGTGTTCCTCAGGGAGTTCACCAAGTTTTTTGACTCAAAAACATGGTAAGCTGCTGGATGCTAGCGCCAGGCTAAGCACATTTTCTAGGAGAAACCCTGAATTCAAAGTCTGTTCATTTCTATGCAGATGATTCCCTGATTCATGTGGCTGTCGACCCTTCAGAGCTCTCTACATTTAAACTTGCCCTCCGTCTTTTAGACATCAAAACCCAGATGTCTGGTAATTATGCGTTGCTCAATAATGATAAAACTGAGTTAATGGCATTTGGACTCAACATCGACATTAAGAGAACGTTACTAAAACTGATGAATCCTCTTCCTCAGTTAGACCGGGGTCTTAACTGTCTTCATTTAAATAATTAGTTAAAACTTACTTTAAGTATTATTACTAGATGCATAATGTTAGTTGAGAATGTTTGGTTGTGCAATGTTTAAAAAAAAAAAAAAAAAAAGATTTCAGGAGGTCCTGACCTGCTTCTCTGCATGTTCTGCAGGCCACCCCTGCACGTGTTTGATAAGGTTCTCATTAAAGTGGGTGGCCAGCGTGGGGGTCAGGGAGCAGGAGGGCCGCACCGCCGAGGCGCCGGGGGGAGCCGAGGCCGCGTTGGAGGCGTTGCTGCCGGAGCCGACGTGGTTGGGTCCAGGAGAGGGACTCCTCTGACTGCTGCAGTTCACAGGAGAAAACGGAAAACACGTTCATGAAAGAAGCGCCTCCCTCTAAACCTCCTGCAGGTTTTATTCAGAAAGCAACGTTTTCGGTAAGTTTCAGGAGGAGACTTCTGCTAAATGCTGAAGGTAAGAATTTGATGTGCTGTTCACACACAATCTGAAATGACCAAAGGGGGAAAAGTGGTGGGTTTAAAAACAAAACAAAACAAAAAACATAAAACCTATTATTTTACTGCAAACTGCAAATGGAATTAGGGAGACCTGTCACAATATCAGCTATTTAAAATTGAATGTAATGATTTGCTTTTGTTTTTTATGTTTTAACTTCAAGGATCAGAGTAAAACCCTCTGCTTTTTTAAACTCAGTTTCTACAGATTTTAATTTTAGAAAACTCATTTCTAAAACCATCTGTCGGATTTTACAAAATTCTGCAAAACGTGTGTAGCTGGCTTCAGAAGGGAAGTTAAACAAAAACAAAACTATTTAACACTTCATATTTAAACAAAGATTAAAACCACTATAAAATCCAGAGCTGAAATTCTGTTTGTAGTTTCTGATCTTTTGGTTTCTTTGTAAAAGTTCAAAACCACAAAGCGTCAAAACTTTGATGATGATCTAAAGTTCACAACATCCGACTTCAAACCCATTTGAAACCCTGATCTGTGAGGCAGAAAAGGCGGCAGAACGGTCCTTTTGTAAAATGTTCTGATTTGGAGTATATTAACTGCTAAATTTGATCAGTATCTCATATACAAATATAAAATTAAAGATGAGTCAGCATCTTATTTAAAACTCTGTAAAATGTCCTTTTAGGACACAAACAAATTCATTGGCAGCAACAATCTCTATTTATGAATTCAAAACAGGTCTAGAAAAACAGCTGTTTAATTCTTTGACTTTAGAAATAGTTGAGAAGATTAATGTGGCATTAATTCAGCGCTGACGATGTCAAGAGCATGCAGCAGGCTGCTACTGTGGAGCAGGTCGGCTCACGCTCTGACGAATCAGGTTTCTGCTAGTGTCACTCAGCACAACTACAGCTTTAAGAACATTTAGACACGTCTGCATGAGAAAACTATGAGAAAACTATGCTTTCAGCTCTGAAGCTAGAAAAAGTAAACAGAACTTAAAAAAATTAAGTTAATAAATGAAAGAGAAAGTGATGGCATGAGATTCTATTGCCTTATGGAAATCATTGCAACCATCATTAATGTGACAATTATATATATATATATATATATATATATATATATATATATATATATATATATATATATATATATATATATGGTTTGGATATACAATAGGGTACACCCTAGACAGGTTGCCAGGGCGACAGTAACACAATATCACGGTCAGATGATGATAAACTGTCACTGAAGTCATTGTGAGAAATTATTATATTGTTGTTTTGAGACAATTTTCAAGTAACTTAATGGTAACGGGATAATAATACAAGAAAACATTCACAGAGATCAATACCTTAATTTCTAACATTGAACAAAGACATTTTAAATATTCTTAAAAAAAATACACAAAACCACAGAAACAACTAATAAAGTGAATTATGAGTCTGTAAACCAAATTATCCTTAAAGAAAAGTTTAGATGAGACCAAAGAACCAGACTGAAGGCTTTTATCATTCAGTTTTTGGTTGATAAAAAACCCCCAATTGATGACGCATTCAATTGGTTTATTGCGACAAGCCTAATACAACTGATGACCTGTGATTATAGGGATCAATAACAGCTCTCAGACTGAAGCAGCAGCTCTGATGCAGGGAATCAAAATAAAGCAGCTTCTCTTTGTTCCACTGATGACCAGCAGGTGGTGCAACAACAGAACACATTGAGACACTGGCTGAGCTCAAACTGCCCTTCCACTGGAGGAAGGAGCAGGAGCAACAGGCAGTAAGTGAGCTAAGGTTAGGGGTCAACCAGCTGAGTCCGGCGGTGTCGGTACTGACCCTTGGCGCTGAAGTGTGCGTGGGGAGGCCGCGGTGGCGTCGTGACCGTGCGGCTTCTCGCTCGACAGCGACTGCTGAGACGAGGGCTGGGAATGAGGCGGCTGCTTCGCCGCTGGCGTGCTCACCTGAAACGCAAGTTGGAAACGCTGCGTCAGCACAAAACGCCGACCCGTTCCAGTCAAGGTTCTTTAACATCACTGGAATCAGCTGGTGTCACTGGTACTCTACCTGAACAGAACATCGAATCACTCTGTGGTGTGGTTAGCTCCGAGACAACACATGCGCTCGTTTGTGCTAAATGCCGCTTTGCATATTCATATCACTACTTTCACTTCTTGTAAAGCAAGACAAAAAAATAGCACATAAAAGCAGTGATGTTTTAGTGAGTTACTAATAGAGGCACTGAAACGATATTAATGTCTGTATCAGTCTTGATATAGGAATAAACAAAAATCTCTATTGATGATATTTTGCCTGACTCATCAGGGCAGATCTATTCAGTTTGATTCTACGCTTTGTGATCCGAGTAACATCATGCTTTATTATATCTTCTACATTATATTTAAAATTTCTAATTGCACTTTCTGAACCATTTGAAAGATTTACTGCAGTTTATTTTTACAGTTAACCTGTTGTGTAGTCAGTTTCAGTTTCTTTATTATTTATTTTCCATTTGCTAGTCCACTAATAATTCCACTCACAGAACAAATAAAAAAAGATTTTTTACATGTTTGACCAAGCTAGCTAGCTTATGAAGCTATCGGTGTATTTAAGTGTGTTTAGTGAAGCAGAGTTATCAAATAAACTTGTAATTCAATACATTTCTGTCTGTGTTTAAAAAAAAAACAACATTTCAAGTCAATTCAGCACTGATTTGCTGTATAAGATCAGTACTAAACCCCAGATATCCGTATCGGAAGTAAAAAAAACAAACAAAAAAAAAAACAAAGTGGACTGGTGCATTCCTGCTTACTTTGGGTTGTGAGATGACGGGCTGTGCACTGAGGTGAGACTTTAAAGAGCCGACGTTCGTCTGCGGCGTGCTGATCCTGGGCGACACGTAGGATCTCGGCGATGAGGCGTCTGACGTTAAAGACATCGGTGACTGATTTGATTGTTGAGCTTTTGGGAGAAACAAAACCGTAAGGGACCCGCAACGAGCCGACCTGGCAGAAACAGCAACTGGAAGCACGACGCTTCCTTTCAGCTGACGTTCAACTTCCTTTACCTTGGTTAGAGAGCTGAGCAGCTTGGGAGAGGATAGTAGTGATGTTGAAAGCTGACGGTCCAGCTGTGAGGATCTTGTGGAGCATCGACTGTAATGAAGCTTGTGTGACAGCAGCTGTGAGAACTACAGAAACGAAGAAAACCACAAAACATGTTGGTGATGGATCAGATTCCGAACCAATTTAAGAAAATTGTGACCGACTTATTGGTGCACTCCATACTTCTTTTTTCTTCTCTCTTTTATAATAATGTCGCCGCTACACTTTGTCAACTTCAACATCTCAGCTGCTAGAAATATGCATCAAAATTTGGCAGTAAAAGTCTACCCAACAGACCTGATCTGTAATAAGCAAATGTTCAGTAAGCAGTGCTGATCTGGTTCCAGCGGGGAGTTGAAGGTGCTGTTCTGGATAAGGTCTGTGGTGAACAGCATTTTTATTGATCTGCTTTTCACACAATTCAACCCCACGTTTTTTAAAGTGTAAAAGAAAATAGGAATGCAAGCAGTAATTTTATAATTCTGACAATAGAGGGGTTTTTCACAATGAGATTGCATCAACATTTATTCCCAGTGTCCTGTCTTAAACACAGGTGTCCCACAGGGCTGTGATTTGTCCCCTCTGTCATTTGAATACAAATTAGGCAAACTGTAACACAAAAGGCAAACTGTAACATGATAAAAAATGCTGTTGATATGATTATTGAAGCTCCACCGCTGGATGCTAAACACACTACTTTCAGCAAGTGACTCATCAGGTTTCTTATTTTAAATGCTACATAGTAAAAGTCTTACCGACTGGGTCCAACACTTCCATGCAAATCATAACCAGCTTCAGGCTAATTGTTGTTGATTTACTTTTTCTTTATACAGCATTGTCAGTGATCAAAAAAGCAGGTAAAGCTGGGTGTGTAGCATGTAGAAAATGTGTCAAGTATTTAGTGGTTCACACGCAACTATAGATTTGTTGGGCTTCCAGAGATTGGCGTTGAGCTAGCAGTGAGACTGATGTGAGCGCATGCATCTTTGTCCACAAGGAATAATGTGTGGCATCTCAGCACGCTCACTCAATGTGTGTGTTCTGGCAATGTGATCTGCGTCTGTGCTTGTAAATTGATAAAGAAACCACACCACCAGCCAATCACAGACAGTTATTTTTCACAAATCTGCATTTGTTCACTTGGGAAAAATAACTTATCCCAGCCAACACAAAACAGCAAGCATTATTACAGACAATGTTACAAAAATGGACTATTTTTGTGACATTATTTTGTAAATCCTACAAAACAGCAAGATTTAGAAAAACACAAGGAAACTTAATGCAATAAGTTTTGTGACCAAAAAACATTTATTAAAATATTCTCACTCCTCTTACTTTATGTTTTATTTTTTTTATTTATTTTTGAAGTTTTAAATATCTATGACCAGCATGACCTATTTTGTCTTATGATCCCCTAGCTGACTAATTTGGATTAGCATTGTCAATAGTAACACAATCACAAAGTCAAATTTCCGGTCAACTTTAAGCTTTAACACAAAAACATGGCAGGCTGCTGCTGGCCTGGGCCCCATTACTGGGACCAGCAAGCTTTCTGGAGGAAAAACCTGAAATTAAAGGTCAAAATGAAGTCTCCCTTATGAGCAAGGGCTGACTGTGGTTTAAGTCATTTACTAAGAGTAAATATCTTGGAATGATAACTGTTCCTTTCGGCATGAAAACAAGTTCAATCAGGTGATCGATGAGGACAGGAAACAACTCCCACCCTGATCAAGAAGGCTGCTTAGTTCTATAAGGTTGGCTCTCATTCTATTCACTCACTCAATTAAATTGCACTTTTCAAACTCACTCAGAAAAATCACTTCCATTAGTTGGGAAAACTACAATTTCTTCTCATTCACACATTACCAAGCTGCACCATGTGCCACATGTTCAATTGATTTCATTTGACTTGTTAAACTCTCTTAGGAGACATTGAGCTTGAACAGGAAGTTATAAAGAGTGTCAAACTAAATCACTCGCACAGCTAAAGTCTCATTTCTCAATAAGTGCTTGATTAAATTGCTCACCAAACAATTTCGAAGTGCTAGGAATCAGCCTTCCTCTAATTGAATCGAACATACCTCACCAGTGAGCTTTTCTCATTTAATACATCAAATACACAAGCTTTACAACACAGATTATTTCCACTTAGATAGAGGGCAATGGTCCTCTATCTAACTTCTAGGTGAAAAGTTAAGCTGTAAACATGCCACTCTTCCACTTGCAAAGCAAAAAGCGTCACAGCAAACGCTTTGCAGACTAAGGCCAAACGACATCACATGTAAACTTGCATCGTCGACCTGTAACTTGTTTCTTACCCTCGTTGATTTTCGCCATGTCCACGCTGGCGTTGTTGAGCTGCAGGGCCGTCTGAAGCGCTGGGAGAAGCTGGCGGAGCAGGTTGGGGTCCTGAAGGATGGGGGGCGTGGAGGACTGTAGGACCGGGGAGACGGGCACGGTGGACGCTGACGAGCCTGGTGGCGCCGATGAAGGGTTCACGCTCCCCGCACCCGAGGAGGAGGACTGTGACTGGCTGGGCAGAGCCGCTGAGGGCTTCTCCACCTGAGTCGACTCTGTGGGGAGAGAAAAGGAGGAGTACTTTGAACCATGTTACCTTCAGTAATATGGTTCGTCTATTAACCTTTGAACAGTTTTTTTTTCCACCAGGTGTTTGCTAATTGCTAGTCAAAGGAGCCTCAAAGATGGTTCTAGGTCCACACTTTGAACAGTTGAATGGTTGCTAAGGGAGATTAAAGGATTTCTCAATCATGCCTGAAAAAAAAAAAAGCTCAATACAACACATTAAGCTGTGCATGTTTTTTGAGCTTAACATGACATAAAGCTCAAAAAACCAGATTGTTATACAATACTGCCCCTTTAAAACTGACATGCTGATGGAAACCACAGGAAGAATATATCTTCTTCAACAACACGATTCAAAGTCCATACAAGCAGTCTGACAATCAGCCTCCTACAGAGGCTCACCTGAACAACCGCTGGACAAAAACTAAGATGGCCAGCTGCATGTGCAGCAACCTCAGAACGAGCCTCTGGGACCATTTCGTGGACAAGGTGAAGGCTGAAGTTCTGTTCTGAGGCAGAGATGAGGAGTTTGGGCTCAGAGGCAGGAGAGCAGGAAGAGCCCAGAAGCTAACGCTTAAACCGACACACTGTCGTTTAAAAAGGACAGCCTGGCTCCTGTAGCTGCAGCGGTGAAGGAGGGGATATATCAGATGGTATAAAATCACCCGTTATGACATATGATATATATCATATGCTTCTGGATCAATCAGTGGCTGGCAGAAAGTAAGAAAAAACGAGTCTTTGTACAGCTGGATCTCTGACTTCATGTTACAATTTCTTCTCATTCACACATTACCAAGCTGCACCATGTGCCACATGTTCAATTGATTTCATTTGACTTGTTAAACTCTCTTAGGAGACATTGAGCTTGAACAGGAAGTTATAAAGAGTGTCAAACTAAATCACTCGTACAACTAAAGTCTCATTTCTCATTAAGTGCTTGATTAAATTGCTCACCAAACAATTTCGAAGTGCTAGGAATCAGCCTTCCTCTAATTGAATCGAACATACCTCACCAGTGAGCTTTTCTCATTTAATACATCAAATACACAAGCTTTACAACACAGATTATTTCCACTTAGATAGAGGGCAATGGTCCTCTATCTAACTCCTAGGTGAAAAGTTAAGCTGTAAACATGCCACTCTTCCACTTGCAAAGCAAAAAGCGTCACAGCAAACGCTTTGCAGACTAACGCCAAACGACATCACATGTAAACTTGCATCGTCGACCTGTAACTTGTGAAGGAGGGGATATATCAGATGGTATAAATTTGTGATTACGTCACAAATTTACTCTGAATGTCCAAATTCTTGGAATGCCGATTGGGGAAACAGCTGATGCAGCTCTGTACACTAACCTTCTGCAAAAGCTGTAGACTTCTGCAAAAGTTGCAGACTTTTAGTGAATTACAGAGATTTTTATTTTTTTTGCTGCCAGTAACATTCATCTTTAGACCCATTTTTAAAAATTTCCCATACATACAATAAATAGGAATGTTATGTTATATATTTGTAGATTCATTTGGATCAGCAAGAATGTAACATACGCAAAGAGCACCTTTTCATGCAGAATCACAGTGGAAAATGTAGATTTAGATTTGTCTTTCATACTCATTACTTCCATATTTGGAAGGATATAAAAGTTTTCAACTTTCTATTTGACTTTATGCAAGCTAAAAACTGGATTAAACCCCACATTCGCAATATTTCCCCATTTTACTTTTTTTTTTAAATTTACTGAACAGAGAAATGCAATATATGTACAGAGATGAATAATCAAATCTATTAAAACACAGATAGAATAAAATGTAATGACCTAAATGCAATTTCTCTCACTAAGCAGAAATGTAATTAAGTCAGGTTTAAAATGCCAGTAGGTCAAAGGTCATCCATTTTTAAATAACTTTCTATATTTGATGTTTTGCATACATTTGTAATGGAAACACAGATTAAGGTGCTTCTTTCAGCTTCTTTCAAACAAAATTTTCTTCTACAAAATGTGAAAGAACACCAGATTCTTCTTTTTGCACATAATATTGAAGATGTTTTTCTTTTTTAAATCACAAACACCTCATAAAGTCATTCAGTCCTTTGTTGAAACACAGCGCTGATATTTGTGAAACCTGAACAGTAAATGTGAAATTTTTGCTACTGATTTCTTCAACTGCTTTCATAATTACACACTTTTTGGATTAATAAATATGAAAAAAATTGAACAAGTTGATTTTGTGAATAAAAACAGATCTCACACTGTGGATTAGAAATTGAGATCCTCTTACCACAGCTGCTCTGCCGACGCGCTACAGTCGTTTCTGAGAACTCTTCGTATCTCCAGAAAACAAGACCTTGCTCTCCAAACTCTAAAACAGAATCCCCCCATGTGTGCTCAGAATTTGTGTTTTAGTCTGTCGACACACGGCTGTACTGACAAATGCAGAACATAGCAGCTCGTCAAGTTCACTGATGGAAGAACACGGCAGCTATGAGCAAGAGCCTGCTGAGATGGAGACTGCTAACTTGGTGAGCTGGTGTGGAGATAACCGTCTCTGAAAAGGATAATCAGCGCTGAACACCATGTGGTAGCCTGGATTCAAGTGTAGCTTAACCTCGGCTCTGAGATCAGGAAATGTTACAAACAAAACAGATGACCACCAGAACAAGAAGGAAGGTAGTTAGCTTCCCAACAGCCCCGAGTTTGACAGAAATAGACCAAGAGGAAACATAACCGATTAACTGCACTGGGCTTTTCATGGGTCCTTTTCATACATTATATGTCCTGACGCTCAAGTTCTTCTCATACTCCAGGAATGTTCTTTTCACCTAGAAACACAGATCTATGCCCAACAAAACAGCAGCATCCATAATGCTTTAATTAATAACAGCGACATTTTACACAACGGCATTAATGTTTGATTCCTGTGGTCTCAAAGCCGCCACTCCAAACTGTGTGGAATCGTGGGCGTTTTTAAATGAGCGACACTCCAGACTGAAGGAAGATCGGAGAAGAACGCTGCATTTAGAAACACAACCTGCTTTCAAAAAAAAAAAAAAAACGCAACAGCTTCACAAAAACATTGAACACATCCTGGGATCTTAATGCACTGAAGTCTGTGGAAGAAAAATGACATACACACGATATGTCTGCTCTGTTCAAACTTGAAATTCTGTCTGAAAAGGACAGCATAAATTTTGTAAAAGCAGCCTAACGTTCCCAGTTACTGCTGGGATTCTTAACGTTGAATCCATAAATAAATTGTCCCAGAAATAATTGAGATAATGTTGTTTTGACACCAGTTTCAAGTAATTTAACAATTATAACAGTATGATAACACAAGCTTGTCTTCTCAAAGAACAGTAAATTAAAAATTTCATAAACAAGCAAGACATTTCAAATAATCAAAACTAAACGACTAAAAACAATAAATAAAACAGAAATAAAAACCATGCACAACAAAAACTATCAATATATTAGACAGTATCAAACAAAATTGCTCTTCAAAAACATCAGAGTGGAAATTATTTACTTTTCTTTTTTATGTTTGTCTTTATAGTTTGTGTTAGTGGAAGTCCCAACAATACTCAACTAGCTGGTGATAGTTTCAAATTTCCTGTAAACTTGAAACTTTATCAACTCAAAAACACATCAGTCCCCTGGATGCCTGCTGTAACAGCCCCCTAAAAGCAGATAATAAATAAATAAAGCATGATTCTCAGATTGGTTACAGTTTAACCCTTCTAGACTGAACTTGTAGTCAACGACAGAAAACTGTGCAGTACGGTAATCCTGCAACATTTTGTGTAATCTGAAAACTAAGCAAAAAGATCCAGGTAGAGATTTGAAACTTAGGACTCTTAAACCTCTATCTGTTTAAGTCGATAGTTAACAGAGCTGGTTCCCACAGTACAACTTCTCCTCAGATCAGTCAAAAGACAACAGAGCAACTTGTGAAAGCAACATTTTGGCCAACTAAAACCAGCAACTCAGATTGAATCAAAAAGCAACCTAAAGGCGAAACGTTGCACACAGCTTGGTTCGATATTGGACCTGTCATCTTTAGAAACCTTGAAACTGAACAACGTGGGCTGGATAGTGGAGGTAAAGTCTTTGTTATGAAAACCAAAAAGAACCAGCAGTTCTTTCCGCAGTCACAATCGGAATACATCACCCTTTGAGCTGCCGAAGCAAGCCGTCTTCAACAAAGACGGCACAAAACAAAGCATCTGTGATACAGGCAGATCAAAGACCGAAAGCTCGGCGCTGCAGAACCAGACGCGGTACTTACTGGGTCCGGTGAAGCCGGGGGCTGCCGTGACTTGCATGGCCTCCCTTCTGTAGTCCCTGTCCTTGGGGAAGCTGTTGACAACGGCGCTCTTTGTTGCCTCCTTTTGCCTCTGTTCCCTGCAGAACACAAAGCAACCGGCGTGAGACGGCAACAGAGCGCAACGGACGGGACGCGCAAGAGCGCCGTGCGTTCGTCCCCGCGGCTACCTCTCCAGCCACTCTTTGGGCTTCTCCCACTGGGACACCTCCGTCCTACAGTTGTAGTAGTATTTCTTTCCAGAAGAGCTGATGTGCTCCGACCAGTCGTCGCCGGGCTCGTAGGGCTGGGTTGAGTAACGCAGAACCCAAAGGGCAGCGAGAAGAGAGAGAGAGACAGAGAGAGAAAAAGGCAAACGTTCACATTGTGACAGTCTGATGCAAGAGGCTGTAATATAATCTGAGAGAAAAAGACTGTTCCTGTTACTGCTGCTCAACTTCAGCTTCCAACATTTAGGATTTTCTGATTAAGATGTCATTTAGGTTTGTTTTTATTTTGCGTCAAGTAATAAAAATGTGTCTGAAATGACTGCAAAGTGCAGAAAATAAAACTGGAACTTTTTTGTGTGAAACTATGCGCTTAGAGGTCATTGTTGAGATCAATTCTATAGCAGTCTGTCATCGGCTCTTGCGCTCCAGCAGAAACAATACTTACTGTGTCTGATGTCTTGCTGGGGTTAGAATGTGAGTTGGAGCTATGGAGGGAACTATGGTTGTGGGAATTTTCTTGTGGAGAATAACTGGGTCCTGCAGGAAAACACACAGAAATTCATCATAAATGCCCGCGTCCAGTGCGGGACAAAACGGCAGCACAACGCAATACAATCCAGCTGTGATGCATTTAGCTTTACTGTAGTGTCCTAAGACACTACAGAAATAACCTGTCATTTCACCTGCATGATGGTTTATTTAGTCCCACTGCGAATGAGGGGGGAAAAAGTGAGGAATAAACTTCTGCCAAAAATTAAAAAAAAAAAAACTCAAAGAAATTTTATGGTTGATCTCAGAAATTTTCTAGAACAAATTCAGAAATTTTGAGTTTAATTTCAGAATTTATTTTTAGAAAAAAAAAGCATTTCTGGGTTTTGAAAGTCAAAATGTTTTAGTTTTTAAAAGTTACATTTCTGAGATTTCTAAATTTGAAATTTTTCAAGCAAATGTTTCAGTTTTGGAGCTCAAAAATTTTCTTGCTTTTTCAAGAGAATTTCTGACATTGATTTCCAAATTTCAGAGTTTTTTTTTTAAACTTGCACCTCAATTTGTTTTCTCCTCTGCAATGGCCCTAATACTCCATCATACTTTATAGATGCTCTGTCTTTCATTCACTTGACAGCAGTTCTGCATCACACTGCCTTTATTTCTTGACATTTGTTTCATCTTTAATTCAGGATCCACAGTAAAATCTGTATTTTTCAGTACGATAAGGAGGTACTTCCTTGGTTAAATGCATGTACCAGCTGCTTCTTTCACACTAAAAACACTGTTTGAATGCAAATGTGAACACCAAGCGGACCGGAGACCGCTCCGAAGGTAGGAAGTGGACTAAAGCGCAGGGCATTCTGGGTAAAAATAACCAAAACAAATATGAGGGTCTATTTATGCAAAGTGTTCTGTAGGTACTTACAGCCAATAAAAAACAAAGTGCCAATCTACAACTTCGATTAGGGATTTTCTGATCCTATTTGTAATACCAGCTTAGCGATCAAGGTGTTTTGACATGCTATTCTGGATTTGGGAGTCTCTGCCGCCACAACAGTCCTGAGAGAATATTATGTTTGACGGCTTAAATTTAATCAATCAAATCGATTTGCTCAGAAATAAATTAGATACTTTAGTAAACAAAACATTTTACTACTAGATGTCACCTGACTGAATAATATTGGTAGTAGTGTCATTTAAAGTGGTACATAGAAAATAACTTAAAAGCTCTTCACTGCCAATGCCTTGCCTGAACACCTATTTTGGACCCCCAATGAATTCTGGGAAATTATGGGATATGGTGGGTTGTGAAGGATACGCCAGATTCATCTTTTAAATCTGAGGAAAAGAAAGATGCATTTGGAGGAGTCTTCGAATTCAGACAGTCCTTTTTGGTTTTTATTTCGGACACGGCTTCCACCAAATTCATCAGTTTGTATTTAAACAAAAACAGGTTTGTGCACCAAATTCTGTAACTTAAATTACCAGGATTAGGTTTGTTTAGCTACCTAGCTTTTCTTTAAAAAGAAAATAAATAAATAAAAGAATTGTTCAAAATACATACGGCAGCCGAGTGGACGAGTAAAGCGATTCGCAGTATACTCGCGGCAACTTAAACGCATTTCGAAATCAATTTTGGAATATTCTGAATCAATTCGGAATTCCCAGGACAAGGATTTGCAATATTTTTTGTAATAGAATATCTGTTATGGCCTTCTAATAAGATATAGAAAATATCTCACAATCTACTCTTGCTAATGGGCTGTTCTTTGTCAACACAGTTCTTAACATCTGATCGTTTAAAATCCAAATTCCATGTCATGTAATAGATTACCGGCATACAGAAATCAATATTTTTCTGCTGTTTTTTTTGGTTGATCAAACCAAACGCACTCGTCCACAGAGAGAAGAAGTTCATCAACAGAAACCATAGAAAGGAAATTGGACAGAACCCTGAACAAGATCTCCGATCGAGTCATTTTTCTGTTTGTGACGATGTACACCTAGAACAGGAATATCCTGCAATACTGTTTATCGTCATATGTTTCGCTACACGCTGTCAAAACGCCCAGTTGCTTTAACATCACAATTCTAAAAATGTAAAAGTGACTGTAATTACAGGGGAATTTAAAGACATTGCTAGAGAAGCAGCTCTGAAATGGCAACAATGCTGCAGGTCATGTAGAGAGCAGCGTGCTCTCCACGTGAGTGATCCAGTCACAGAAAACCAAACATGAAAGCCACAAACTAAACTTTGATCTTCTGAGTCTGACATTCTGATTTATGCAAAAAAAAAAACAAAAAAAAAAAAACAGAATTTTTATAAGAGCTTTATTTTATTGTAGCATAAGACAAAAGGTTGTTTAATTTAAAGCAACAGTTCTGGCTGCCTGAATATATATATATTTTTTTAAATAATAAAAAAAGAGGATTGCAGATCTTTTATGCAAATTATGCAATGTTATTGCATAATTTCGATTTTAACTATTTTGGTGATGACAGTGACTCAAGTTCAGAAAAATTATTTTTGCATTTCAAGAGCAAATGTTTTTCAAACTGACTTTTTTCTCTTTCAAATCTCTTATTTGACACGATATTAGCTTTTTACTTTCATGATCAAAAAAAAAATCCTACGTCAGTTAATTTGTTTCTTTCTGAGCCTCTGCTCTGTCTGGCAGACAGACGGCCTGGTTCTGGTTCTGCTGGAGGATTCTTCCTGTTAAGGGGAGTTTTTTCTCTCCACTGTCGTACATGCATGCTCGCTATGAGAAAAGTCAATGTTGCAACTCAAAGACTCCCTCCTGTGACTTATGGCTGGATAAAAGTGTATAATGTATATCACAATAGAAACGTGATTAATATCAATACATGATACATCTGACAGCATTTTCATTAATTTGACTAAACTCTGATCTAAAACTGCACAGCATTCTGGGAGATGAAGGTTGAGGAAAGGTTTTAGTAGCTTGACCTTTATTGTCCAGCAATATCCGCCACCTTAAACTGGTTAACAGTAAAAACGGGAGACGCGTCTAAACTGCAGCGTGACAACGATGTAAACTGCTGCAAAAAACAGTAAAACGTTGTGGCTCCCTCACCTGCAGGGCTACCAGTTGAAGTCACTTTCACAAGCTTACATTAGAAGGTTAAAACTTAGAACCAATATGGGAAAATATTAAAACTTGGAATATAAACCAGCAACGTTGAATTTGATCAAAAGCTTACTTCAACTCACAAAAAAAATCCTCGACCTTCAGCAGCGTTTTCTGTGGATCGACAACAGGTGATGTAATAAAACACCAACCCAACTGACCGGTTCTTTCCAGACACATAAACCCAGTAGAAATATTGCTGACCGCTCAAGGGAGGAAGGCAACTTCTTTACTAAATCTCATACTACAGCCTGCTGATGTGGCATGCTAATGCTAGCTTGATTCCTCTCAGCATCGACCGTTTGCTGGACTCAACTTAAAGATGCATGTTCTGCTTCTCAACGTACATCACATCACGCCGCTGGGAACGACAAGCTCTGCTCGTTCACGTAAATGTGTGTGTGTGTGTCTGTGTGTGTTGGAGGAAACAGTGCACTCCTCTGTCCATGCGTTCAGCTTCCCGGATGGCAAGTCCTGCCAACTAATTTTCATAAGAATCATCTTTTGCCTGTTACATCATTCTCATGTTCGTTTGGAGCAGAAAAGTTATAGTTTTAATAGTCATGAAAGTTGAAAATTCAACTCGGCTCTGAGGCGATTCTGTTAAAATATTAGCATAAATTGTTTGCAACAGTTTCCATGATTTTACCGCTGCTTTTTCTTAATTATGTCCCAGACCACAAGCTGCAAATATGGTTCACTTAAAAGTTTTGGATCTTCCATAAGCTGACTGCACAAACAATCTTAAAACAAAACACATATCTTTAAGTACAACATAGAAAATGTAAACAGTGATTCGATGTTTGCTGACTGTATTTCAGTTTGACACAAAGTATTTTCAGCCTTTAATCTTTGCAATTTATGAGTTAATAGTAATTCTGGTCTGAACTAATGTCTAGTCTAGTATCAAGTCAATTTAACCAAACATCCAAAATTATAGATTTCAGATTTAACCCCAATTCTGATACCAAAAAAAGAAACTATTTCTTCAGGCTCTGTCAATAACATAATACATATAAAGATCACCATACCTGTATAAATATGCATTTCCTGCAGCTACATATTACTTTTCTTCCCCCACCTCGTCATTCAAACAATGAGCTCCATTTGATTCATGAATGAAGTGTCTGCAGAAATGTCCAAATGAAGCTGAAAATGATAGCTGTTCAGAAAGTCCACACAGCGCCTGGAGGAAAGCCCGGGTTAACGAAAACGACTATGTACGTCAAACCACCAATTAATTCTGATCTGGGTGTTAAGAGATCACCAGTGGAGCAGTGATGAGCCCTGGATGGTGGAATTTACCTCAGCATGGGTCTGAAAACGTTTTGACATTAAAAATTGGGAAGGGAAAAACAAACTGCCGGTGTTCTGAAGCTACTAAAGTTAAAAGTCATTTCACTTTATAACTCAACTCGAAACTGCAAGCATGGCTTCAACAGCCTGAATTGCAAATAAGCGAATTTGAGAAAAAGAGAAATGTTCAAACTTAAAAAAATAAATAAACAAACCTGTCACATTAATACATTTTACTGGACAATAAACAGTTTCAGCAATTATTGGAATAAATATTGTTGTTTTGAGGCCATTTTCAAATAATATAATTTTATAATAATGCAATTTTGTCTTGTCAAAGGTTGAGAAGCTTCCACATTTTGAATAAATAAAACACCAAATACAACAAAAATAAAATGGATTTTGACGTCTACGTAAGCCAAACTGCACTTCAAAAATATTAATCAGACTGAAAGTTAACAAGTTCAATTTATCATAATTAGTTCAATATTTGAATCCGACTCCCTCCTAAAAATTCACAAGACGCTGCAAAACTCAACAAAATTCTTAAAACGTTGGTTCATCTATGGATTGTTCCCCCCCTACCGAAGAGAAGTAGAGTTAGTCGCTTCATCCCACTGCGTAGGTGTGTGGCTTTAAAACCCCGGAACGTGTGTGTGAACACCATCGGCCTCCTCACCTCCGTCCCGTTCTCTGACGCGGTGCATGTGGAGAGCCTTCGCCCTGCTGTGGCCCATGCCGTCCGTGTGCTGGTTCTCCGGGCTGTCTGACCTCCTGAGCATTTTGCAGGGAGGGGTGACCTCTGTGGGGTCGCGCGTCTTCTCGTGGCGGTGTTCCCCTCCCGGATGGCTTTTGGATGAATACTTGAGAGTCTGGAGACACGAAAAGGAAGGAGCTCGCCGTCATCTGGTCGCCAAAGTTGCAAACCGGCTTCCAGTTGTCACAGCTCCCTAGCCAGCTCTATTACTATACTTTTAAATTGAAAGTACAGTAATACTTTTGATAATCGTACATTCCAGTACGATTATGTGTACTGGAATGTAGAATCACTGCTAAAGCAAATGTATTATAAGTCTGTGATACCCAGCCGTTCTCACAATACGTAGCACGGTTTGTTAAGAAAAGAGCGTTGTAAACTCTGGTGTCACTTTAACTTTTACCAATCCACTGCTGTTCTACAAGCCTTATCTTACTTTACATCAAACGCAAATATCATGTTTTGCTTTTCTGTTTTTTTATGTCTAAAAATTAGCACACAACAAGCCACAAAACATTCTCAAAATCTGAGTCCAAAATTGACATAATCAAGATTTCTTAAAATATCAGTCCCATTAGCGGTGAGTGGTATGATTCTAGTTATTTGTTGTAGACTTTTCCACTTATATTAGTCAATCACATATTGACAGATATTAGGTTTTTGTTGGGGTTTTTTTTGCAATCTTTCACTGTAAGTTAAGAATCTAAACCTTTTGCGGCTATCTGAAATTAGCAGCTTAAATCATAGCAAAGCTAATTAACTCTTCAAATTTGTTGCATATCGAGGCGTAATTGAGCGTTTTAAACACTTAAATATATAATTACGATGGCTAATTATGTAATAGCGAAGGTAAACAACATTTCAAAACACAGACGACGAATGGCCTCCACTGTCAACCGATTTTTTTTGTGTGTGCGTGTTTTGGTTAGAAAATGTTGGTGTTGAGAAGATATTCTTACGACTCCTGTGTTAAAAGCTAAGCTGACTTTATCCTTAAAATGACAGATTGCGGTCGGGCCCTGATCGAAACAGCTAGCAAGAAGGCTAACAGCACCGAGCTATCGTTAGCTTTGATCTGCAGTAAAACTCCCTCTGCCCTGACCCTAAACCTCTTCCTTCGACGGACTCATGTCTCTATGTGTTCTGTTGACATTCAAATGTTTGCGTTGTGGATATTTCCCATGCTTTGTCCCTTATTTCGGGTAGCATGCCCACTACTTTTTGGTGTTATTTTCCGCACCGACTGAGGCCCGTGCTTTCCAGAAGCCCGAGCTAGAGTGTCCATTTTAATCTTATTTGCTGCTAGCGAGCTAGCAGGCTACGGGGAGCTAACAAGTACCTGATAGGGCTGAGAATCTCTTCGGTCGCACCTGAAAATAGAAAACAAAACGGCAAAGAGTGAGAAGCTTTCAGTGCTAACGTCGAAACACGACTTTACGAGGCCGCGAAAGCAGCACGTCCAAGTTTTAAAATACTTATTTTGGTTTCGGCAAAAATGGCGGATTGTCAACGCGTAGCTACGAGGAAAGGGGGAAAAAATTAGAATAAGTAACGTAAGAGAAGGATGTTTACCCATCGCCGAGTCTCGGTTGTTTCCTTGCATACATTACCATCAATGCCGTGTTAGTGTGTTTAGAGTGGGATGTGAAAGACTTGGTAATGGCACTATGTTTTCTTGGGATTCGACGACCTGAAATCGTCTGTTGGCATAGAGCAATGCTATCGGGAGCGCTGGTGTGAAGAGCGCCCTCACTCAGTCCATCTCCCACTCTGAAAACACAGCTCAACCGCTTCCAGCAGAACGGAACAGTTCAGCAGCGAGCCAGGTTGCCACGTCGGAGGCAAGCACCCATACGGGATCATCTTCAGAAATCCATGCTTTATGAGTACCATCTAATAACAAAATCCAAACGTTTGCTGGATACCTTAAGTAATTCTTTATACATGCATTTATGAAAACAATGCACATTCTAATGCCGTTTTATTATCATTACTCTTACAGTTGCAAAAAAAAAAAAAACAACAACTACGGTCAGATGTAATTATATTGGGGAAACATACATAAATAAAAAAATAGAAAAATATAAATAAATAAATAAATAAATAAATAAATAAATAAATAAATTGGTTACAGGTCAAACTGGATAGCTTTGGATGTACACCATGAGAGCCGCAAACGTCAATTATGGGCAAACATGGCAACCTTGTTCCTGATAACTCATAACGCCCCCTCTGAAGTCGATGTACTGATTTAAAACAGTACATCTTTTGAAAAGTTAAAATCAGCACATTTTCGGATTGATTATTTTTCAATACCGTTATGACTGCGAGAACAAATGCTTACTTTTATCATTTGGAAACCACCGAAAACAGATAGTTTGTGCTTTAATGAATGAGGCAGGCAATGAAGTTTTCCACTCCTGACATCTAGCGGTGGAATTGTGACATTACAATCAACATTTGTTCAATGTTTATTGAAAATAATCAAATATTTATCCACTTCACTGAATAACTTTGCTATATCAAAGCTTTTTTTCTTTTTTAAATGCATAATGTCTGAACCAGAGTTCACCAAATCAAACACTAATTTCACAATTTTTGTATTATCCCAAAGCAAGTTGATTATGTGTACTGGAATGTAGAGCTACTACAATAAAGTAGAAAGTATTTAAGCAGGGGTCAATACAATATGAATTAATAAGTAAGACTTGAAAAAAAAAACTAACAAAAAAAAAACAAGTGAAGACTTCAAATATCGAAATCCATGTTAAAGAGCATCTATGTGCCCTGTTGTCCATTTTCATATATCTGTCAACAGATACATGAAAATAGGTCGAATTCATTCTATTCGAAAAGAATAAGTTTCAAATGAGAGCTGCTTGTCATTGTTCATAAACAATGTGTCTCACATCGTTTTGTAGGTTGAGGACAAAAGACACAATTGGCTCTGGTTCTCAATGCATTAACACGAGGACCTATGAATGGGGGTGGCATCTATTGTCAGCGAAATTCCTGCAACTTGTACACACAGGCACACCATGTCTTTCCCCACAAATCTACTGGGATGACATGTTTTAAAATGTCTTTCTCTTTTTCCTTCTTTCTTTCTGGATGTCTTAAAATTTAGTCGAAATGGTCAAATAATCAAATCTGCATTGATTTCTCAAAATAAGGTCACTACAGTTTGACCACCTATTGGGTTTTCTCTTCAATTGACCTCTAGAGGGCGATATTTCACCATTTTGTAACGTGAGCGCCAGAACTTTACAAATTGCTGTCAATTAAATTGAGTTTATTTAACAAATAGGTATTATTATTATTATTATTATTATTATTATTATTATTATTATTATTGTTTTTGTTGTTGTTATTATTATTGTTATTAAAATTATTGCTCTACAAGTTCAGTTTAAAATTCGGCTTGATTAAAACCAATACATATTTTTGAATGATTACAGCGGCTCTAATGGGATCTTTTACAAACAAGTGACATTGTTGCAAAGGTTTTGTTTTCTTCAGTCGTATCGAGGAGCCATGCTAATTGATGGTAAAATCATCGAATCACAAAGAGGACCTTCTCATCAAGCCCGCCTCAAACACATTTCAACCAATGAGAGCTCAAAGTGGGCGGCATCTGAAAGGGAAACCCGTCACAACGCAGATCTCAGATCAGCTCTCGGAGGAGACTTGTCTCCGGCCCAACATTGTGTCCAAATATGCAAACCGCTTCCAAGTCAGCGCGTCGGCGAAACACTTTCTCTGCCTCGGGATAGTAGGACCCGTCGAGGCGTAACATTTTAAAAAGATTTTCGTCCGCGGTAGGCTGAACCGGGAATAAAATAATGGAGTGCAGAGATACAACCCGAGACTTTAAAAGCGGAGAATGAAGAAAGAGGACGCTTCGACTGCTGAAGGAAACGCTGGAGTTGCAATTCAGTGAAGGAGAAACCATTCAGCTCCGACACAAGTGAGTGGCTCACATGCTTATTGTTTTTAGTTCTGAACTTGTATTTGTAATAGTTAGGACAGTGAAACCGACAGACTTTCCCTGTCATTAAAACAAAATAAATAAATAAATAAAAAAAAAGTTAGCCAACGTTAAAGTTTTTGAACGTGAAGCATTGACCGTGGCTCAATAATGACGTATGTGATTTTATTTGAGCGCGTGTATTATGCGGAGGCTAAAATAACAGCGACTCAATATTTATTCACTACGAGGTCACCAAATACTGAACTTCTGCTGCAGTAGAAGTGTGCAAATATGTACTTGTTGCAAAATATGTGCAACAAGTACATATTTTGGGTTTACACACAAAATATGTCTATGTATATATATTTTATTGAATTTAAACTATATCCTAAAACAATACGACACAGGGATACTGTGGTAAAACACGCGTAGGTTGTTTGGTTGTTTGGTAGGTTGTCTGTGGTAAAACACGCATAGGTTTCCTCATGACGCGGCTCTCTACTTCCACTCCCACACCCTTAGCGCGCAGTTCCTCCACTACAGGAAGTGCTCCGGGAGGGAAAACAGAGCCGTGGTGCCCTGCAGTGTCAAGTGTGGTGACATGGAGCTTGTCACTGGCTGACGACAACAAGCCTCTGGCCGGCCTTCCTCCTGTAGGAAACCCGGCACTTGGTCAAATTCCACGGCACCCAGCTGCTTCTTCAAAAAGTTTGTTTGTTTTTGCCTGTTTCATGACACACGCGAGTGTTCAGGAGAGCGGCAGTCCGTTCACCTGAGGACAGCACATTTCAGCAGCGTCCTCGCTCCACCACACCTGATTCAAATGGGGAAACTGCCTTGTCAGCCTAATCCTCCGGAGGCCAGGTGTGCTCAGTTTTGTAATCAAGTTGAAATGTCTTGCGTGAGACAGGCCAATGCAGATCAATAAACATACTGTTTGTCATTAGAAAAATAATCCGATCCGAGTGCGCCTCATTCAGACCTCAGTTGATGGTTAACCTTGTACTGTGACTGCTGGTCCTTTGACATCCAGACACCAAAATTCAGGAAGGAGCATGTATGTGAGCAATATTTCCACAGATTCTAAATTGGATTTAGATCCAGGCTTTGATTGGGCCACTCAAACTCAGGAATATACTTTTCACTAAACCATGTAACTATAGCTTCATGGTTATGGACTGCTGTCTTTTGCAGCCTCTAAACTTTAGAGTTTGAATGTGGACCAAAATGTTGTTTTTTAGCCCCATATGGCCAGAGCACCATCTTTCCCGTGTTTGTTCTGTCCACTAAATGAGTGGACAGAGAGAAGCTTGTGACAAGCTTCAAATGTGAGTTCTGATCTGGATGGGAGTTCAACAAAGCATTCTTCTACAAAGGAGAGGGTTGTGGAATGTATCATTAAAGGTTTTCCTGTTGACACATTCTTATACTTGAATGGATTTCTGTAGCCCGTCTTAGCTGCTTCTCTAATTGGCAGGTTTGCCCGTTTAGGTTGATGGTCATAACTTGGGAGGTCTGCAATTATTCCATATTCTTAATGTTTGCAGATGGTGGACTAAACCTCTCCACAACTTTCAATCATGTCCACTGTGCTCCTTGGTCATCATAATTCTGTTGATTCTCTAACAAACCTTAGGAATGGATTTTATTTAGGTTTATCTAAGCATAGCATTTTGCATACACTACAAAAGTATGCTAAATTTTTGATATTTTTATGTAAGCAATTAAAACCCAATATTTTCTATGCACTGCTTTGTCTCAGACTCTTGCACAAAATATGTAGTCATTTGTGGTTGTAATGCAAGGAAATGTGGAAAAGTTCAAGGGATGTGAACACTTCTCTGCAGTAGTGAGAATAGCTCTGTGTTGCTGTGACTGTAGATGTACCTCGTTTCCACTGGTCCGGTCGGTGCAGTACGCTGTTTGTCTGTTTCCATTGTAAAAGTGGCCCATACAACCAACCAGTTCGGTACCATTTCTGGGGCCCATTAAGCTGTAGTTCCATGGGTCAATGGTACCGTTAGAGTGGCGCTACTGGCGTCACACAATACAGTCCATTGACTAGAGCACAAGAAATACCCGTGTGCCACATTTTTCATTGCAACGTTGGTAGCAAACCTGCCTCCCCACTGAGAGTCCAAATGGTGGTGAAATGCTCACATGAATACACCAGTCCATAAAACAGTGTACTGAATTACACTAACACATGCCATCCCACTCAATGAAAATGAGGCATCAGACCTTTATTTCGAACAAATATCTACACTGGTTCGGAAGAATGTCAGAAAGAAGAGTATTTTCAGAAGTAGGAAAAAAGTTTTTAAAAGCAAAGTTGTATTGGATATCATATTGTTTTTGTTCCAAAATCTCTGATTATGTTTTTCAGTAAAGTAATTTCTAGGTGCCTTGGTACCTTGTTGGCAATTGTAAATACAGAGATGGAGTCCTGTCATGTATGTTTGAAAGCCTTTATGGAAAATAATGGAAGCCTTCATGTTTTAGCTGCTGTTCTGCTCTGACTGGGAGTAACTCGGATCTTCCTCTGGATCTCGACTAGAGAAAGGTGGGAGGCCTTTAGTCTGCATTCCAAAAGGGTAGAGAGAGTCTCCCTGGAGACTTTGATTGTAAGTACTTAAGTCAAGTTCATTGCTTGGGTCTGCCATGCAGTAAACACCCCAGCATCCTGGCATGGCTGTGATGATTTTATTAAGCCTTTCACTTAATGAATGAGTTCACTATTGGCTGAGGGTGTTGATCTGCAAAGGTTTACTGCCTAGAAATCAGCTTGCTGGCTCTGACCTCGGTGTCAGCCTGTGGTAAGAAAACACACACT